TAATAGCAATGGCCTCCAACCTAGTAGCGATGGCCTCCAACCTAATAGCAATGGCCTCCAACCTAATAGCAATGGCCCAACATTGCTCCTCTCGTTTGGTCAGGCACTCTCACGGATAAGGGCCAAGTCATCAGAGGGGAGTGGTCGAAAGGGCTGCGAGTGAAGTGACCCGGACCCAAAGTGCCCAAAGGGGCACCTTTGTAGGGCACCTCATCGCCCTTGTAGGTAGCTTTGCGGCTTTGCAACTGCATGAAATTTTTAAGAAAATGAATTGAGAAGGTTCCACTTGTACCTTTTGGCTGCTGTCAGACGGTTCGACCTCATGGCAAGTGTGAAGCCTCAATGTTGGGTTTCTCGCGGAAGTTGTGTTTCACATCGAAAAGGTTGTGCCGTGGGTGGGGTGAGTTGCTGCTCCAAGGCACAAGAGCTTTCTGAACCAATGATGACCGATGAACGTGCGACCTTTTACAAAGAGTCACTCATAGTCTTTGAGACCCCTACCAAACCCTTGGTCGCGACACAACTATGCTGTCAGCCTATATAGATTTTCTTTGGGAGTGAGCGCTGAACATGATGGGCACTACCGACCTCGCTGACATGCTGTTTAAGATGGAAGCGGCGGCTACCATCTTGGACGGGCCTTGCACCACCAACTAATGGAATCCATGTGAAAAACCCATACTAAGAGCAAGGACGCTACTAGGGGTTCCTGGCCTTACTACTAGGAGCAAGGACGCCGCTAATGGACTCCATGTGGCCCTAGGGGCTTTGAAACAACCTCTTTGAAGCTTCGTGCCCCGTTCGTAGCGATCATTGCTCTTAGTAGTAAGGCCAGGTGCCCCTAGTAGCGTCCGATCGCTCCGTTCGTAGCGATGCCCTTTGCTCCTAGTAGCGTCCTATTTCTTGGTATGGCTTGGGGCTTTTTGAACAGATACCTTAAGACAACAACATCGTTCATCACGATTGCAGGACTATGAAGCAAGCACTTTCGATTGATCATTGATGGTAATTGGTAATCGAAAGCTTGGCTGGACCCGGTCAGCGTTGTGTTCGCTGTGTTTTTACAAGTACCGTGTTGTTCGCAGTGTCGCGCGGCCTCGGCAGATGGTCCTTTGGCTTCAGGCCCTTTCCACGGTGTCGCCTCGGCGTCGCGCTCCTCGGAGCCCGGCGTGTTTCGGCACAACGAAACCATGGCGGACTGTGAATCCTTGAAGGAGACGAACCATGGGACGTCCACCTCGTATGGAACTTTGATGGGAGTCGAGTATCAAAGAGGAACTGGGGCTGTTCGTCTGATCTATTGTACAATCATTGCTGTGGTACTCTCCGGCATTCGAATTGTTTGTGATCTGGCAGTGGGATTTGCAATTGCTCATCATTCGGCGTGGGTTTTCATTTGCGTCTCGTTCATAGATTTGCTCCTTGCTGCGGCAGCGGCTACGGCGGCGTACTTTGCTTTGACCGTCAGACGACGGGGCATCATCGTTTTCGCCATCACGTCGTTTCTGGAGACCGCAATTTTCAGCTTGGCTTACTTTGTCGTAGTGACTCTGGAAGCTTGGACCTTTTCTTTAATAGGAACAAAGGGCATCGCTACTAGGGGCTCCTGGCCTTACTACTAGGAGCAAAAGGACGCTACTAGGGGCTCCTGGCCTCGCTACTAGTAACAAGAGGAACCTTTTTTTAGCAGTAGAGGTGTGGCCTAAGTTGTTGTTTGCTACTAAGCAGAAAAGAGGTCTGCTCGCCTCAATGATTTGGTTCCGTTCGTAGCGTCCTCTTGCTCCTAGTAGTAAGGCCAGGAATGCCCCTGGTAGCTTCTTGTTCCTATGTTTGTTTTTGGAAGCTTAACTTGTGTCAAGAAGTATGTTGCTTTGAAATAGCTAGCCTCTTTCCAAGACCAAATCGGCGTACTTGGGGTGACTTTTCATGCATATTTTTTACTCAAACCGCAAAACGGACAGACCTTCATCAGGCTTAAATGAACACAGTTCTTTCTTAGCCTTCGTTTTTCCCTTCTCTTTTCTCTTGGGAAAATTCTTCTTATGCCTTTATTATTTTCTTTCGCTATTGTTGTAGTGGCAGTTGTTTTGAACTATATAGATAGTTTTTTCTTTAGTTCTTTCACTGTCCCAGGATGTTGTTCATGCTTGGGAGCGCTGTGAAAGCCAGAAATTAGCTTGTGATCCGAGAAGCTCTGAGCTCAGCGATCATGGACCTTGACCCGCAACAAGTTTCATGTTGTCTGATTTTTATTTTGTTGTTTTTATCGACAAGAAACTACTAGGGGCTCCTGGCATCGCTACTAGGAGCAAGGAC